TATTCATAACTTCTTAACATTTAGAATCATTCTTGTCCTGCTAAAAGACATAACTGATTTTTTAAATTGCCATTTTTCTCAAAATTTAAGAAATATTTACAACAGCCTTATTTTGGAGACTACTTTTTCATCATAAAAGACTCAGCTGTAGCAAAGGACTTTTAAAAGTCCTCACACAGACTCAACGTACAAAGCCTTTTCAAGGCTGATGACATCAACATTTCACTGAGCTCAGGTCATGGCCTCTCTAGGACTCAGAAGAAACGGGGACTAGACGGTCTCTAATACTCTACGAAACTTTATTATTATTATTTTGCTAGTGGTTTGCTAGCCTGTGCTAAGAAAATTTTTGCAATTTTGCAAAGTATTTTATGTCAAATGCAAAACAGAATCTGAAAATGATTAAAATTGAAGAATATACATTGAATTGAAGAATATACAAGAATTGAAGAAAATCTGTAAAATTTTTTTGAGTTAGAAAGAGGATCTTGCATTTATGTATTTACTAACAATACAAGGGAAAACGTGAAAATTTCCAAAGAGGTCTTCTAAAACATTAATATGAGTACTTCAAAATAAAAGTCAACTATATCAAATAGAAAATATGCTATAAATATCCTGGAAAGTTTTGAATAAAGAATTTTATTTCTCCCCTTAATGCAACAATACAGCGACTTTGTGATTTTATTTGGACTATATCATTATTTATTTCCATTTAATTCCATGTAAAAAGAAATGAATGATTAGAAAAGCAGACATAAGAACTCAAAAAGCATATGGGGCAATTGAATGTATGACTGAACAGGACTATACACATATGAACAGATCCTAAAGGCATCACTTTATTACCATACAGGATTTTTTTCTTTTTAAGGTTTGTGTAATGAATAAAAGTCTTAAGCTCTTTAGGAAGACAGGGAAGCAGATAACACATTTTGCAGTGTTTTCTATTAGAAACTGTTAAGGTCAAGTTCTGAAGCTTAAGCTATTCAGACTGGCTCATTCCCTAAGTGTTCAAGGTAGTTTTACTGAATTGTTATAGGTGTATAGGGCTGTATAAAGAGGACTAGATTTGACACTATGAGATCCAAGTTTGAATCCTGGCTCTGAAACTCATTGGAAACCAAGGCAAGTTGTTTGACTTCTCTGGGCCACCACAATTCAATTAAATTTAACAAAAATTTATTAAGTGCCTACTACGTGCAAGACACTATGCTAGGTACCGGGGAGGCACGAAGACAAAAATCACATAGTCCTTGATTTCAAAGAGCTTAGCGGAGGTTATCAGATGTACAAATATAAGTAAGGCTAAGGATTTTGAATTTTATCTTAACATGACTTGAAACTACTGATGATTTGGGAGTAGTAGATCTTCATCTCATCAGATCGGTATTTTAGGTCAATCAATTTGACAGCTATCTAGAAGATGTGATTGGAGTTGGGAGACTGGAAGAAGGAAGACTGATTAGGAAATGATTGGAATAGTCTATGGAAAAGGTGATGAGGGACTGAATTTGGTTAGAGATTACATAAATAGAAGAGAATAGGTGTGAGAGACTTTGTGGAGGTAGAATAGAGAAAACTTGGCAATTGATTGGATATCTGAGGGGAAAAGGAAGGAAGGGTCAGAGGTGATGCCAAGATTGTGAACCTAGGTGATTAGAAGGAGGTTATATGAAAGGAGAGAAGGAAACTAGCACGACACATTTATGGAGGCAGAATAGACAGCAACTGACTGGACAGAGGGATTGAAGGGGAGGACGATCTTCAGGCTATGAACTTTACTCACTAGAAGGGCTGTGGGACTCTTTAAAAGAAATAGTTAACTTTTCAAGAAGGAGAAGTTTTTAAGGACTCTAAGTTCAGTTTTGGATATTTAGGTGGCACTGTAGGAAGGTGGGTAATATGGATTTAGAGTTCAGGAGAGAGATTTGGGCTGGATATCTCGTAGCTCTATGAATGCACGAATATGAGAGTTAGTATGATGCAGTGGATGGATAACTGGTTCGGGAGCCAGGGTGACCTAGGTAAAATCCTGCCTCTGCCGCATATTGACTGTGTCACCTTGGGCAACTTAACCTCTCAGTGCTCTTGAAAACTTTTCAAGACTGTAAGTGGCAGAGAAGGTTCTGACCTGCATTGGTGGAGAGGGTTTTCTCATTTGTGAGCTTCTTATCTCAGTGAAATTACAGGTCTACTTCCTTTCCTCACCCCTGAATTTATGTGGCAACTGAATCCATGAGGGCAGATTGGGAAGGGGAGCAGATTATAAAATCACCAAAGAGAGAGTTTAGAGAAAGAAGAGGATTCAGCAGAGCCCTGGGTTCAACCACACTTAATGGACAGAGGAATGATGACCTGGCAAAGGAGACAGAGAAGGCATAGTCATAGTTAGAAGGAGAACTGCAGTAAGGTGCAGTAGTATCTCAGAAACCAAGGGAGGAGAGAGCATCCTGGAGAAGGAAACAGTTGATGATGCCAAGAACTGAATAGAGGTCTAGTAAAATGACAACTGAGAAAAGGTAATTGGGTTGACCTGTTATGAAACTATTGAAAACCTTGGAGAGAGCAGTTTAAACTCAGCAGTGAATCATAAACCAGACTGCAGTGGGTTGAGATGTGAACAAATGGAGGTGACAAGTTCTAGGGGTTTGGCTGTGAATGCCTGAAGAGGATGCGAGTTTGAGGGCATGGAAGGGTAAAGCAAAGGCTTGGATTGGGAGAAATGTGTATATGCATGGGGAGTGTGACAGAGAGAAATTGAAAATGAGAGAGAAGGGATGTTTCAGGGACCAAGATCCTGGAGGAGATAACATACGGAATCAGGAACACAGATGGAGGGGTTAGCCCTTGTTTATAAAATGGGAATTGTTGTTTGTCCTCCATTTTTGAAGAGGACCAGTGACATCATGGGTGGTGTCTTGACTTGAGGGTGAATTGGATTTAAGTGAGGCAGAGTTGCACAAAGTCGTCAGCCTCATTTTCTCTTCCTAAGCCATCAAAGTCCAGTGACAGGACAAAAGTCAAGACGACTGTCAATAGCCCAGGATGAAGCGGATGACCTTGGTGTCTTCAATGCCTGACTAAGCTCTGAGCTCTCTACAGTTCAGGCTTCACCTGCCTTCCTGGCTGCTGGAATTAATTGTTCTCATCCATTCACCCTGCGGGGGAAAGTCTTCACATGCTTGGGACTCCCCCTAAGTTGGGTTTGAGGCTTGTTGGTTGCCCTCAGCCTGGTTGAGCCCCTCTTCCAAGATGTTTTATTGGGGTGTGGCCACTGCACAAGCTACAGTTTCATGGAGCCACAGGTGAGAGCTGAACGAATCAGTGGATACTAAAGGTGGATGAGCAGCCCGGAAAAGTGCTTGGCAAACCCTCAGAGTCCTGCTGAACACCCCACACACCCCACAAAATGGGGATAATAAGAATTGCACCGCTTAACTTTCAGCGTTATTATGGGACTTGTACTTTACAAATCTTGAAGCGATCAGTGATATCATCAATATGTATATTCCCGACATTGAGGCAAAGTGTAACTACTCTCTTGGGGCATGAATTGCTATGGCAGACGCCGCATTAATCCTCCGCAAACCTGGTGAGGAACCTCTTAAAACTTGGCTGACCTGGGGACGAGGACAAAGTTCAAGATCAGTAAGACCTACCAGAGGCTTGTGCTCCACGGGCACAGTCAGCTGGAGCCTCTGGTCACCTCCATGGCACCATCAAGCATCAAGGCAGGACTTGGCCATGATATTATTATCATCATAATCATATACTACTCAATGTGAACTGATGGATACAAATGATCACCTAAATATCTTACCTGTTATAATGTTATTTTGTTAAATATTACTTTGTATTAGAGTTCCTTCCTCTCTCCCTTGCTCCTTCCCTCCTTCCTTCTCTGTCTTCCTCTCTCCCCTCCCCTCCTCCTAATCCTCTGTCTGATTTCACTGGTATAGGGAACTAACAATGAGGAAACTAGGTCTCCCAATGCAGACTGGCACACAAATTCTTTATGCTATTCCATACTAAAATACTGTACTATCATAACATTCAATTTAACAAACATTTATTAAGTGCCCACTACAGGTAAGGTAATTTGATAGAATTTTAAAAAACCTAGCCCTCTAGTTTTTTTTTTTTTTTTTTTTTTTTTTTTTACTGAGGGATGGGAGAGATAAAAATGGGGTATGATGGGGACAAAAGAGATTCAAACAAAATGCTCTAGTTATATTTGAGGAGAGAATACTTTCAGCTGTGGAGATTAGGAAAGGCATCCCAAAGTGGGTGACATAGGAGCAAACTTTCAAAGAAGAGGATTCTGAAAAGAGGAGATGAGAAGGGAAATGCATTCCATACATGGAAGATGGTTTGAACAAATATAAAGAAGAGGAAGATGGTCTCTTCAATTTAGGGAATAGCTAGTTGTGCAGTTTGGCTAGAATGTAGAGCCATTTAAAGGGGACTAATATTAAATAAAGCTAGAAAGGTAGGTTAGAACCAATGGCAGAGTACTTTCAATGCCAGGCTACAGAATTTGTATTTCATCCTAGAGGCAGTAGAGAACCACTGAAAGTTTTTTGAGTTGGGATGCCCTGGTCAGATCTGGGCAATAGCATTAAAGACTGGGGAAAGCATTGTTTTGGTAGAAACAAGTCAGTGGGAATGGGAAGCAACTGACCAAAAATAATCAGGGATGTGTGCAGAATCATTGTAGAGTGTGTGAGGGAAGGATCATAGGGGGGATAGGCTCATTATTAGGAAGGCAACAGGAATGAGATCATTTCATAACTCCTGATGTAATACACCTATCTTCAGAGGACAATTTACTTATTTTAGGTGAAATATTGTTAAATTTGTCCATAAATAAATTATCTTAAATTTAAATTATAGTTCTAATGTCTTATTTAAAAAATCCCAGAAACTAAGAAATCATAATTTAAAAAAGACAATTGCTGAACAAATGAAGAACTACCTTAGGAGGATCTGGTACTTACTGTATTGCAGGTGACTCTAAATGTGTGTCAGACAATTTAAGATCCTGGGACTTGCTGAGAACCTTTGACATCTGCAAAAGATGAAGAAGAAGAAAAAAACCTAGCAGTAAGGTAAAAAGAAGGAAGATAATGAGGCCAACATTTGTATGCTGAAAACCCACGAGTTTCCTGAATGAGGAGAGAATATACCTCTTTTGAAAAAGAATGTCTATCAGCTATGATATGTTCACTCCTATGTGGTTAAAAACAAGGAAACAGTTCTCCAACTTGAAACACTCTTTATAAATAAAATCAATTTTCAGGTGTGTGGCCAAAGGAGTGGGTCATAAATCTACTTGAATGACTCTAGGGACATTGTATAGTGTATTAACTGAATTAAAATGGCAAATATTTCTAAATGTTTACTATAGTCAGATCTGAAGTGATCTCTCAACATTGTACTGTTTGATTAAAAAACATTTCAATTTATCATTCTTTTTGTAAAGTGGTAGATAATATATTTTATGCAAGATTTCTCTTCTGATAAACATTTAAAAATATTTAGCAAAATCTATGCCTGTGTATAGCATATTAGCAAATGGGAGAAATAAATTTACACTCCGAGAATAACTATTTCATTCTTTTCTTACTTTCTTCCTTTACTTACATAGATTTGATCTGACTAGTATTTTGGCTACTTTTTATAAATTTCAATGTGTTATGTTTATATATTCAATACCTTTCATAACATGTTATTATTTCTAAATTTTGTCCTTTAACCTAGGAATTAAGCAATCAGAAAATTTCTTAGTCTCCATATAGGCCTGAATCTTTTATTCCTATTTCCCTAATTATTCTTTGGATGCATTATTGATGTGCTTTATACTTCATGAAATCTGGAGCACAATGTTACTTTTTTACATGCATGGGTAGGTCAAATTCAGCCTAGGAAAACTGATAATATTACTCATCTTAATCTGTAGATTTAATGCAATGTCATCAAAACATCAAAAAGAAACTTTATAGGATTGGATAAGATAACATTTATATGGCAGAACATATGACCCTAAGAATATTAAAAGAAATTTTGAGGGAGGAAGGAGAAAGAAATGAATATTGCACCAGATCTCAAATTATACTAGAAATTATTCTCCCTCTCTCTCTCTTTTTATATCTATATATTTTTTCTAGCCAAATCCAATAGCCTTTTCTAAATGTCCATCCTTCTTGACCTCTCTACAGCACCTGATACCATTGGCTATTGACCACCCTCTCCTCCTGGATTCTTTCTGCATTCTGGATTTTTGTGACACTGCTCTTCATTGTTTCTTCCCCTACCTGTCTGGCTGCTCCTTCTTAGTCTCTTTTGTTGGATCCTTATCCATATCCCAAGGTTCTGTCTCTATCTTCTTCTCCTCTGACTCTACAACCTCCCAGAACAATCTCAGCAGTTTCCATGGATTCAGTTATTATGCTTACGTAGATTCCTCCCTTATCTATATACCCAGCCCTAATCTCTCTCTTGAGCTACTGTCCTATACCATCAAGTCCCAAATGGACATTTCCAACTGGATATTCAATAGGCACCTGATATTCAACACATTCAAAATGTAAATCACCATCTCTTGCTATCCCTTTTCCTAATAAAACTTTCCTAGCTTTGTTAAGGGTGCCAATATTCTTCCATACATCCATGTCTGTAACTGAAAGTCACAGACTTTTTCATTCCTCTATTATCAATTGGCTGCCAAGTCTTACTGATTTTGACCTAATAACATCTTTCACATTTGTCTTCCATCACACAGTCACCACTTTAGTTCAAACCCTCATAACCTTTCCTTCCTGTCTCCAGTCTCCATTCTATTCTTCACAAAGCTGCTCAAATGACATTTCTAAAGCACATGTCTAACAAGGTCAGCACTCTCCAAAGACATCTTCATTCAACATGTCCAACACAGAATTTATCTTTTTCTACAAAATCTCCTATTTTATTACTTCCAAGGGTACCAATATCCTCCTAGCCACTAGGACTCAGAACTCTGGATCATCCTGGTTACCTCATTCTCCCCTACCCCATATATTCAATCTATTGCCAATATTTATAAAGCACTTAGCACAGTGCCAGGCACAGAGCAGGCACTTAATAAATACTTGTTCTCTTCTCCTCCCCTTCCCTTACATCTTCATATGCCTTGTAAATCCCTCCTCTCCACTCATACAGTCATTAAAGTAGTTCAGACCCTCAATGGCCAGGTCTCCCTGCCTTGTCTCTGCCTATTCTGATCTACCCTCCACCCCACTGTCAACATCATTTTCTTAAAGTGTAGGTCTGACCATATCAGACTCCTGCTCAATGAGCTCCGGTAGCTCCCTTGTGCCTCCACGATAAAATATAAAGTCTTCTATTGGGCATTTAAAAACACTTTGTCTCTTCTTATTCCCCCACTCCATCCCTACCCCAAGAGCCAGCAACAGTAGTCTGCCTGTTGTTCCCGGAACTCCATGCCAGGAAGGTTCTGTCCCCTCACCTCTGCCTCTTGGCTTCTCTTAGTTTCTTAGATTCAGCTCAAATCCTATCTTCTAGAGGGGAGCTCTCTCAGTCCCCTCAGTCTCTATTGTCTTTCCCTCTCAAATAATTCTCTATCTTATCTTATATATCTCTATTTATCTTGTTTGTACCTAGTTATTTACATGCTGCTGCCTCCCATTAAAATTAAGCTTCTTTTTTTCCCCTTAAATTAAGCTTCTTGAAGGCAGGGGCTGGTTTTATCTTTCTTTGAATTCCCAGTGATTAGCACAGTATCTGGCACATAGTGCTTTAAAAATACCTATTAACTTCAGCCAGTTAATTGATCGTCTCTGCTTCAAAAGATCCCATAAGATCCCAAAAGGATCCCATAGGATCCCAAAAGATCCTATAGTCCTTAAGGTAAAATGCAAATTCCTGATTCATGCTTAGTCAAGTAACTAAACAGATATTTAATTAATCACATATTTTGTGCTATTCACTGTGCTAAGTGCTAGGGAGATACCAAGAAAGGCAAAAACAATCCCTGCCCTCCAGGAGTTTATAATCTAATGGAGGAAACAACATGTAAACAACTATAGACATAAAAGATACATACATATATATGTATATATACACACACACATACACATACACACACATATATATACACTGTTCTTCATCTATATATGTATATGTACACACAAGATATATATGTGTGTATACACATATATGTGGACACACACATACATGCATGCATACATATACTACACATAATCTCCTAGGGAAGGCACTAATATTAAAAGGGAATATTTTCATCACATTTTTCATCACATTTATTGTTTTTCACAGCATAGTAATATTGCATTCATGTACCATAACTTGTTGAACCTTCCTCCGTCAACATGCATTTACTTCATTTCCAGTTCTTTGCTACTATAAGAAATGCTGCTATGAATATTTTGGTGTATGTGACATATTGTGCCTCATAATGAGATCTCTGGGTCAGAGGCTAAGGGTTTTTTAATGACTCATTAATTTTAAATCAACACATATTATATGAAATACAATCTTGTAACAAATGAGTGTAGCTTGATTAGAATTTTTAATAAAAGAACAATGAGTATTTATTTCTTAACACTTCAGGATATAGTTTCCTAAGAAAGCAAACAAGTCAACAGTTGCCATTAAGGGTGGAAGGAGAATAAATGATAAATGCCACATATAACTTATGTAGAATTAACTACTTTATGAAAATCAACTATTTAAAATTCACAGACAATATTTATGCTGACAGAAATTCTAAAGTCTTTGGACTATACACAAAATGTACAATATCTCTGATAGCTAAGAACAACAATGTTTTTCAATAGTATTTATTTGAGTAATTAATGCTTTCCATTTATTTGAGTAATTAATGTTGATGTCTGCTTTTCCATTTTCCATTTTCTCTGTTCCCAATTAGATGTCAGCAAATGATTCTTCTGTAATATCTGACTGAATGGCTTTAGTTCATCATTACATTTCTCACCTTTGAAAACATATTGGGTTTTCCCAAGCCACAGTTGAATACTATTATTTTTAAGAGTACTGTTTTTGTTATATATTTTAAAAACTAAATTAAATGTAGTCTTAGTGGTAAAAAAAAAAAGGCATTATGGCAAATAACAAATTCTGATTAAATCTATAATGATTTATTGATTTTACTCCATCAGTGGAGTTGATTTGAATTTATTTAAAATTTTAAAATAAACTATTACTCATAAAACAGTAAAAAAAAAAAAACAAAGCACAGATTGCAAAACGTTTATTTTTCATTCTCAATACAGCAACAAATGTTGAGAACCATCAAAAAAGTATTTACAAATACATTAATTGATAAATTGCTTTTAGTTTTCTTCCAGAAGTATTTATGAAATATGTTCAAATTATAGCAAACATTAAAGTGAATAGTCCTTGCCCTCTACACGACTTTAAATATTACTTCTATCTCTTTGCCAGTGGCAAGACTAGTCTCTTCCATCTAATGCAGTATTTTTGAAAAGTTTGCAAAATTTTAATTTTGGGGGTCTGTGGGAAGACACACATACACTGATGCGCTCTTGGCAGATCTGTGAATTGGTCTACCATTATGGAAAGTAATTTGGAGCTACTCCCTAAAAGTCATTAAACTGTGCACATCTTATGACTCAATGATACCACTTCTAACCTTATACCCCAAAGAATTCAAAGAAAGAGGGGAAAGACTCACATGTATAAAAAAAGTTTACAGCCCCTCTTTTTGTTGTAGTAAAGAACTGGAAAGTAAAGATGTGCCCATCAGTTGGGGAATGGTTGAAAAAAAGACTATATGATTTAAAACAATATTATTGCACCATAAGAAACGATGACAATGATAGTATCAGACAAGCCTGGAAAGATCTGAATGAAGCGATCAGAACCAGGAGAACAGCTGATACAGCAAATAACAACATTATAAAGACAAACAACTTTGAAAGACTGAAGAACTCTAGTCAATGCAATGACCAGTGATGACTCCAGATGTCTGATGACAAAGCATTCTACCCAATACCTGACAGAACAACA